CGCGCCCCGAAGCCCTCCCGCGCGGCGCGAGCAAGGCAGCGGGACCCTCCCTCGAGAGGGACAAGGCAAATCCGAGCCCGATGAGACGCCGGCAGAGGACTGCCAGGAAGAAAAGGCCTGAGTTATTTAATTTGAAAGATGACAGTGGGTGATAGCTGATCTCATTCCAGCAATCTGCCTGCCTGCAAGGCAGCGGGACCCTCCCTCGAGAGGGACAAGGCAAATCCGAGCCCGATGAGACGCCGGCAGAGGACTGCCAGGAAGAAAAGGCCTGAGTTATTTAATTTGAAAGATGACAGTGGGTGATAGCTGATCTCATTCCAGCAATCTGCCTGCCTGATACATTTTGCATCCCGATACTGTTTACATCTTGCCTTAAGTGGGAACAGGCAGCGGCTATTAGCTGTAACATGGCATACATGCTAATCTATTTGGGGAAAAACCCTCAGTCCCCCGCCTTGGCATCGCTCTGCTGCAATGCCATGGAAGCGGGCACATTAACCCAGCGTGTGCTGGCCGTGCCACCGTGTGCACACGGCGTTTTCAAATGCACAGTGCAGAGACAGCAAGCGAATACTGGCTCGTGTTATACTGCACGTGGACCGGGGCTCCACGCAGCCCGGGAGCGCGATGAAACCATCGATGCTGCTCCAGGCCGTGAACCACTGCGCGTTGCAGACCTCCCCCGGAGGCCACAGCCTGCCCGCTCACAACAGGCTAGCAAAGCCACAGGGGTTTTACTAAATCCTAAGCCAAATGTCAGGGTCACGTTTTTTCTCACATTCTACGGGTTTTATGTTACGCTGGACGGAAACAAGAACGCTACTCGGAACTGCAGGGAAAGGAGAAAAAGAGCCACCTGGAAGGCATGCAGCAGTGCAGAAGGGTGACCACGGAGGACGGATCGGCACCTGTGGCACCAGAAACCCGCACGCCAGCAAGCCAGCGGGGAAGCACCACACGCCTCCCCCCGCAGCGTACACACCGCAGCGAGGAAGGCAAAATGCATCCGAGGAAGAAGTAAATCTCCGAATGAAGAGCACGTTCTTCTCCTACCTATATTTCATCCCCGGCTGCTTCACGCTGGAGTCACTGGACGACGGGGCATTTTGCACCGAGAGCTGCCCCAGGCTCCGGGCAACCATGGCCACAGCTCGAAATTTGCTGCGCGTGCCGAGGCTGGGACTGCTGGCATTTTGTCTGTTCAGGCGGTCTTCTGCACTCCGGCTCTTTATACTGTGCTCAGAGCACACAAAAGAAACCTGCATGGTGCTCGCGCTGTATCTGGGCTGCCGAGACGCCCTCCCTCTTTAACACTCAGCCGCGCTCTACTTCACAGCCCAACGCTGCTTCTCCCTGCAAGCGCCGCAAAATGTCAAAGGTGAAAAATAATTGGCAGTGTGTTCCCCCAGGAAACTTGAAAATTTCAAAGCAAAAGCGAAGAAACGAGCAGGAGATGTTGCTCCTCTGGTTTCAGCCTTCTCTTTGGATGTGCAGGGCCGCACCGGCAGTCGCCCGTCCGAGGGTTAAAAAGCAAACTTCAGTTTATTTACTTCCCGGCTGGAATTTGCATGCTGTCCTTTGCTTCCTTTCCCCCATCCTCGACAGCGCAGCCTGACTGGTCTCTGCAGCAGCTCCACAAAGTTTCGCAGATGCTATTGGAGGAATTTTGCCGCCCCTGAGCCCAAAGAAACGATTCACCGGACTGTGTTTCTGCTGAAGCGGCAAGTTCCCCCCCGCGGCGGCAGGAGTCCCGGGCAGGCC